GATAAACGTCGAATTGAATTCCACACTCTCTGAGGAATCAACTTGGACTCTTTAGGTCCACTTTTACTACTTGTTCTCGACCCGTGCGCTTGCGGCATAGAATCACGCGAACAATGATCAGTATGCAACTCCTCCTCAGAATATGCATAATGTGGATCATCTAATTCTGAGCCATCATCTTCCCCAGCATTCAAACCAACCAAAACTCTTTCCGATGCGTTTATCTGATAATGAAAACCACCATCGTCCACATCATCCTCCGAATCATTTAACTGGCACTCCAGTGTCACCAAATCTTTGCTCTCATTGTTCGTCACTACAATGTAAAAAGACTAGGCTTAATGTTTGGATATAAAAGAAAAGGTAATTAAAACAAATATGCAACTAAGACATTTGTGATGTCTGAAGTAACTGCTTCATATTATAAAACTTCCCAAACAAATAAAGAAAGTGTTTTAACATATATTAAGCAATGGCTGCACTTCTCCTTCATAACAGCTATTGTTGTATACACTGCAAATGAAAGGCATGCCTGCACTTCTCCAAAACCCTAATTCTCGGCCATGATTTCCTCCTCCATTTCATAATCAATTAGATAAAACATTCATTTCTTAAACTTTATGTCCATAAGGAAACAAATCATGTTCCAACAAAATAATTTTAAAAAATTACCTTCCAGAACTCTTTCTTGCTCATCTTCCAACAATGCATCTTCCATGTGAGGGCATTGTGGGTCACCTATGCCCTCCATTATCCACACAAGAAAAGAATTCCCAAGACTAATACGTTGATTTCAGGGAGAATTTCAGGAAATGCAAAGGACCGGTGTTGATTTTTCTTCCAGTGAGCAGAAATGTGAAAATGGGGAAGAAAGAGAAATGTCGTGATTTTAAAGGTTAATGTCGTGGGTTTAATTACTCGTTGACAATTTAACGTAGGGTATTTGCCACGTAAGAAAACCGTTAGTCACGTGTAATTTCTGTCAATTTTAAGAGACGGGAATGGAGTGAGTGGTGGATGGGTAACAATAAGGAAAGATAAGTGAGTGTTTGATAACGCGTTAAAGTTCAATAAGTAAGTGGTAACAACTTGAAAGTTTAGTGAATGTTGATTAAATTTATTCGATTATTTTCACATATGCTTAGAGCATGTTTGTTTCCGATTAAAATCCAATTAAAATTGAAAATATGACAGTTTTTGGGTCCCACTCATCTAATAAAAGTCAACAATAACGGCTAGTTTTTTAATTTTAATCTCTACCGAACATGCCCTTAGTTTCCCAATATAAATTGCAGCACTGGTCCTCAAACTATTTTTAATCCCACTTTTAAAAAAGAGCAAGTTTATCTTTATTATTTTATCAGTAATGTTATTTGTACATCTTTGTGAACAAATTGATATACAAAATGATGATATTGACAAAAATAATATTGTACTAATTAATTTTGAAATAAACATAAAATTTTAGGAGATAGACGTCCATTTAATCATATCAGCACCAATGTAGGAGACGAAATTTATCTTAAAGAGATTTACAATTGCACACCTCGCTTCATTTCATCTCCTTCAAATTTTTACATTTTTTAAAACTTTGGTAAGTCATCATTTTGCATATTTCTATATATATATATATATATATATCTTGATTTCGATAAGTCAAAACTCGATACTTTATTTTACACGTAAAAGTTTGGCTATCGGATATAATTATGCGCTTATTTTTTCTAACAAAAGATAGCCAAAAATTGGAATGAAGAAAATGTTATCATATGTTAATATGCAGCCCAAACTTGTTTGGATGGTCAATAATGCCCGTAGATATAGTGACATGCCAAGCCAACGGAACAATTTGTTTCTTCCATGAACCCCTTATTACTAAGGAAGATCAGAAAAATAGGCACAATAAAAATAGAATAGGTACAGCGGATTTTAATGGATATGAATTAAGGAACACCCACATTTGTGTATACCCTTTATTTATTTATTTTTTGGAGAAAATTGATTTTGAAATAGTGATTTTTTTGAAAAATGTATGATTAAAAATTAAGGAAAAATTTTGAATTGGTGTGCAAAATTTTTTTTTTATGAAAATGTGTGATTAAAAATGAGTTTACAATAAAAAAAAATAAAGAATGATAGACAAACATGGACTTAATTTCATCTTTAGACACACGGAACCATCAATGGATACATAAATATATCTCATACATAACACGACAATTTCAAATTTGATGAAAGCTTGCAAATTTATCTTACCTCCGTTTTGGTGGCCTTAGAATTTTAAAAACATAGTTTTACTTCTTGGAGAATGTGTTTTTAAGCAGTATGAAAAAGTTCTAAATTTGGATGTAAAATATTTTATTGTGTAAATATATGATTGAAAATGAGTATAAAAAATAAAATAAAAATAAAGTAAAGGGAATCAAAGATAGATTTCGATTTCAATTTCTCTCGAGACATGCTAGTTGTACAACCTTGGTTGACAACCACTCACATTGGAAGGGTCAGCTTTTTTTTTTTTTTTTTAAATTTTTTAAACATGTGGACCACGCAGAAATGTGAGAGGTTGTCAACCTCGGTTGTACAAATAGAATTTTCCATTTCTCTATCAGTGAGCTGACAATGATAATTCATGTAATATATACAATCATGTTATATGTATATCATTTTTATATTATTTTTTATACTTTGCCATTGTCTAATATATCAATCAATGTGTGGATGAGAAATCACAAAAATTATCTTTGCAGTCCTTCAATTTCTCGATTTGTGTTTGTTCTATGCAAATGGCTGCAAGCAACGATGAAATCGAGTACGAATACCCCTCTGTAATCCGAATCTACAAAAATGGCCATGTCGAAAGACTCCGGGATACTGATTTCGTTCCCGCCGGCACAGATCCTCAAACAGGCGTTTCATCCAAAGATGTAAACAACATAGTCCCTGAAACTGTTTCTACTGTTAAGTTTTAAGTTAGTAATACGTTGCATGATACACTGTTAGATTTTACATTTACGTTAATTTTGAAGGCCCAATTTATGGAGTTCACCTCAAGCCCCGCAAATTACAAGACCGGCCCTGTATACATGGTCTTGAATTTTGATAGTCACTGAATGAGAAATGGCCAATAGAATAATAAGACATAAAAAGGTTCAATATTCAACACAATAAGATAAAGTATAGTTAGACTACAAACAGTACTAAAATAAAACATGATAGATGCACGTCTTAAATAAAAGCTTACCTGGCTACTCGAGCCTTCGAGAAGTTGTCACTACGTGGTCCATTTATTAAATAGGTACCATACATTATCAGAAAAATAGAATAGGTACAGCGGATTTTAAAGAACATGAATTAAGGAACACCCACATTTGTGTATAGCCTTTATTTATTATTTATTTTATCATTATTTATTTTTTTATTTTTGGAGAAAATGGATTTTGAAATAATGATTTTTTAGGAGGATGTATGATTAAAAATTAGTGGAAAAATTTTGAGTTTATGTGCAAAATATTTCATTATGAGATTGTGTGACTGAAAATGAGTTTACAATAAAAAATAAAGAATGATAGACAAACGTGGACTTAATTTCATCTTTAGACACACGGATGTATCAATGGATACATAAATATATCTCATACGTGTTACAATTTCAAATTTGATGAAAGCCTGCAAATTTATCTTAGCTCCGGTTTGGTGGCCTTAGAATTTTAAAAACATAGTTTTATTTCTTCGAGAATCTGTTTTTAAGAACTATGAAAAAGTTCTAGATTTGGATGTAAAATATTTTATTATGTAAATATATAATTGAAAATGAGTATAAAAAATAAATTTAAAATAGAGTAAAGGGAATCAAAGATAGATTTCGATTTCAATTTCTCTCGAGATATGTTAGTTGTATAACTTCGGTTGACAACCACTCACATGGGGAGTCAACTTTTTTTTTTTAATTTTAAATACGTGAACCTCGCACAGATGTGAGAAGTTGTCAATCTCGATTGTACAAATAGAATTTTCCGTTTCTCTATCATTGAGCTGTTTTATATTATTTTTTATACTTTGCCATTGTCTAATATATCAATCAATGTGTGGATGAGAAATCACAAAATTATCATTGCAGTCCTTCAATTTCTCGATTTCTGTTTGTTCTATGCAAATGGCTGCAAGCAACGATGAAATAGAGTACGAATACCCCTCTGTAATCCGAATCTACAAAAATGGCCATGTCGAAAGACTCCGGGATACTGATTTCGTTCCCGCCGGCACAGATCCTCAAACAGGCGTTTCATCCAAAGATGTAAACAACATAGTCCCTGAAACTGGAGTTTATGTCAGAATTTATCTCCCAAATCTCAGCAACAAAACTAAAAAAATCCCTGTTGTTGTTTACTGTCATGGAGGAGGTTTTGTTATATCCACACCCGCTTCTTCTACTTATCATGATTATCTCAATTTACTCGCAGCTGAAACTCAAGTTATTGCAGTTTCGGTGCATTACAGATTGGCTCCTGAGCACTCGATTCCCATTGCGTATGACGATTCGTGGGCTGCACTTCAATGGGTAATTTCGCATTCAAATGGCGATGGCCCCGAGGAGTGGTTGAACAATTATGCAGATTTTGGACGCCTGTTTTTATCCGGCGACAGCGCCGGCGCCAATATAGCGCACAATTTGGCTATGAGAATTGGGAATTCTGAATTAGGGCAAAATGTGAAAATTAGTGGTATTGCGTTGGTTCATCCATACTTTTGGGGGTCGAACATAATCGGGTCAGATGCGGTGGATCCGAATACTAAGTTATTACAAGACCGATTGTGGCCGACAATTTGTCCATCGAATCCGGATAACGATGATCCACGAAACAACCCGATGGCTGAGGGTGGGCCGGGCTTGACGGGTTTGGGATGTAAGCGGGTTCTAGTTTGTGTGGCAGAGAAGGATTTTTTGAAGCTTGTAGGATTGGTTTATTTTGAGGCGTTAGGTCGGAGCGGGTGGAAGGGCGTGGTCGAGTTGGTTGAAACAGAAGGAGAGGGTCACGCCTTTCATTTATACGATTTGCAATGTGACAAGGCCAAAGAATTGATGACAAGAATGGCTGCATTTTTCAATAATTAAAAAAATTCAGCATTTGCTTCCCAATGATGTGTTGTACTGAATTCTGAGTATTGTATGTATGATATATGTGTGTGTGTGAGAGAAATCTATATGTACATGATTATTGTACATAATGGATTACATAGACCCAAGTACAAGAAATCCGGCCGTGGATGTAAAGTGTGGAAAAGTCAAAAATTGTAAACTATCGATGGATATGCGCGACATATCAATCATGTAATGTATTATGTAAATGATTATATACTTGCAGCATGGTCCTTACTTTTTTAGTGAAGCCCTGTCTTGTTTTAATAAGAATAATGCTTGTATTTCTTTAAAATTCTTCTATTTTTAAACATTAGTCTAGTTCTATATGCTTTGAAGTTCAAGATAGTCTGAAGGTTCTAAGCGATAAGTCTATTTTACATGTTTATTTAGGTCCTAAAACGATTTATGGTTTGAATTAGTTGGATAAATTTCTATTCAATTTCTATTATATTTAACATTGAGAAGAAAGGACGAAATTGCATGACTTCTGGAAGTGCAAAGACTTGGTTGGAAGAGCTTTGGAAGTTAATTGAAGAGTTGTATGCACTATGAGGACTACCATTCAACTTTTGATAGGATTTAAATCGAATGAATTAGAAACTTAAAAGACCGATCTTAACATGACCAAAGTTGGAGGACTAAAGTGGACAAGCTCACGAGTTGACACACTAAAATTGAAGATCTTGAAACGATGAAGAAATTGATGGACTAAAATTGAACTTTTATTTACAATCTTTAAGTACATGCAAAAACATCAACGAGTTCTAGGATTGTTGTCCAATTTTTGGGAAAATTACAGCTACGATGACAAATATTTTACTTTTATACATATTTAACCCAAACATTTCATTTGTATCACCTACAATATTGAACTCGATCTATAGGCACAAGAATTAAGCTATTTCTATAATTTCATTTACACCTTAGTTGATAACCCTATGATGTGGATGTGTTATAATTGTTGAATTAAAAGGGTTGTACTACATGTACATAACAATTTACATAATAGTTTATCAACAAATGATGTGGCGTGATTTAATTTGATCAAAATCTTATCGATCAAATAACTTCACCACTTACTTTTTTGACACATCATCATTATGTAAAATATTATATAAATAGTTACGTACAAGTAATATTTTCCTAAATTAAATGTGTGAAATGTGAAAGATGAAGTAAGATAGTGCCAGTGTAAATTCGATTAGCGACGATGTAAATCAAGATGTACACGTAACAAGATTGATGTGCACAAATGTGCTACCACTTGGAGCTCGAGATTAAGAATCATGTTATGCCATATGTGTGCAAACTTGGTTTAAAAAATGTGTTGGCAACACCTAAATCAATAATTTCAAAATCAGTTTTTGAAATCAATTGATAAGTCAACACTTCATAAACAAGCTTTATAAACAAATGATGTGTTTGATGGATATTATTGAGGAAAAAAATATATTTTAAATAGTGATATGATAAAAAATATGTGGTTAAAAAGTAAGGAAAAAATTATTGATATGGTGAAAAAAATTATTTTATTGAAGAATGTATAGTTTAAATAAATTTTGAAAAAATGTATTTTGAAAGAATGTGTGACAAACGGGAGCAAAGTTTGTAGATATGTGTCGTCTTTTATCCAATCTAATCATGGCAGACAGCATTGTCATGGCTTTTTGAATATGGAAATTTGGCCAAATAACCCTCCTCAACAATGATTTTGGAGAAATGACCTTTGACCAACATTGAAATAGAATTAAAAAAAATTAAAATGTTTTAATGGTAAAATGACAAAAATGTCCTTCAATTTATATCAAATTATTTACCCAACTTCTTTCATTTCACCTTCTTCTTTCTTCTTCATTTTCACCCATTTTCAACAGTCACATAAGGAGCCCATTCCACCACTTTTCTGTCACCCAAACCATCAGACTTCACCACCCCTAACCTCGTCTCACTCCCATCTACAACCTCTAACCAACCATTATCCATGAAACCACCAGAATTAGCAACAAACTAGCCCAAAAAACTAGTTCTCACCCACTCTTCTTCTGCCGGAAAACCTACCTCCGGCGACACCCATGGTCGGCACCACCACCAGTGGATAGCACTAACCCAGACGACGAACACCATGACTTAACATCGACCAATAATGCACCAATTCAATCTGTTGTTGCTCAAAAAGGTCCGCAGTCGCGATGTAAAACGACACTACAGTCGTTATCTGCAACGTAAAACGACACTACAGTCGTTATCTGCTGTAATTTGATTTTTTCAACGAAACGACCTCTAATAACTTATTAACATGTATAACACAAAAAGAATGACAAGCTACGAAAAACGATTGAAATGACATAACTTTTATATTTATCGAGATAATGAAAGAACAAGTCGTTACTGGAAAAGTAGCAAAATATTGGAGAAATCAACAGAACGACAAAAGTGTCGTTACTGCTTTGAGAACGTCTACCAGAACGACAGAACTGTCGTTTTGCATCTAAAATTGATTTTGAAGAGCGGCGACCCTTCCAAACCACGATAATGATGAGTTGAACTCATTTAAGTTGCAGGCTGAACACTCCGCTTACAACATTCGAAATTTATGCTCATTACTTAATCAAGAGGAAAAAAGAAAACGACTTAACTGTCGTTACTGTTTTGAAAACGGCACAAGTGTCGTTTTGTCTCTAAAATCGATTTTGAAGAGCCGCGACCCATCCAAACAACGATAATGATGAGTTGAACTAATTTAAGTTGCAGGCTGAACACACTACTTACAACATTTGAAATTTATGCTAATTACTTAATCAAGAGGAAAAAAGAAAACGACACAACTGTCGTTACTGTTCTGAAAACGGCACAAGTGTCGTTCTGGCTCTAAAATCGATTTTGAAGAGCTGCGACCCATCCAAATCACGATAATGATGAGTTGAACTCATTTAAGTTGTAGGCTGAACACGTCACATACAACATTCGAAATTTATACCCATTACTTAATCAAGAGGAAAAAAGAAAACGACACAACTGTCGTTACTGTTTTGAAAACAGCACAAGTGTCGTTCTGACTCTAAAATCGATTTTGAAGAGTTGTGACCCATCCAAACCACAATAATTTAAAGATCTACGAGAACGACACAAGTGTCGTTACTGTTTAGAAAACGGCACAAGTGTCATTCTGCTTGTGAACACGTGTATTAAGCGTCATGATCCTCCCGAACTATGATAATCGATAACTTGAATTCATTTAAATTGCAGGACAAACACGCCGCTCACAATATTCATTAGATATGGTCATTACATAATCAAAGAAAACGACGAAAATGATACAAGTGTCGTATAGTTTTGATGCATTTAATTTAAATATTCTTATACCGTCACTCCTAGGTTGAACATCTATCAGAACGGCACAAGTGTCGTTATGTTGTGCAAAGAAGTCCATGAGAACGGCACAAGTGCCGTTACTATCAAGAAAACGACACTTGTGTCGTTCTGCCTCAGAAGGTAACATTTAGTAGAATGGTATGAGTATCATTATGAAAAGAAAAGCAAAATATTTGAGAAATCATCAGAACGAATCAATACAATGATTTGTGATTTCACCAACAAGATATCACATAATTTATGTCAAATTCTATCGTTATTTTTCACATGATCGACATTTTCGACTTCCTTAATTCATGGGGTACAATACTTGAGGTCGTAACGGCTGAAATAAATCAAAATATTGGAGAAATCATCAGAACGACACATGTGTCGTTATACGACACTTGTGTCATTCTGTTTATAAACAAATATCTAAAACAGTTAATCAACATTTCTGACTTCCTCAAATCATGGGGTACAATGCTTAAGGTCATTAAGGTGGAAATGAAGCAAAATATTAGAGAAATCACTAGAACGACACATGTGCCGGTGCACGACACTTGTGTTGTTCTGTCAATAAACACGAGTACGAGCGGCCACGGCCCCTCCGAATCTCGATAAAATATAATTCAAACTTATTTACGTTGCAAGATAGACATGTCATGCAGAAAATTTGAGAGTTACACTCATCAATTATATTTTATAACGTATCAATACAATGATTTGTGATTTTACCAACAAGATATCATAGAATCTATGTCAATTCTGTCGTTATTTTTCACATGGTCGACAGTTTCAACTTCTTTAATTCGTGGGGTCCAATGCTTGAAATCGTAGCGGTCGAAATGAATCAAAATATTGCAAAAATCATC